GAACGTTCGGGTTCGGTGCATGCCTAGTTGAAAGTATGGGATTGCTGTTCTAAATGTAAAGTTAGAAAAAAAGCTTTCTATATCAGAATAGATGGGAATATTGACTTTTTTTTCTGTCTTTTCTATCCTACGAAAAATAGTATTCTGTATGCCAATATTTAGAAATCATTTTTCTATCTTAGCCAAGCAGAAAAAGATGAATTTTCTCCGTTGGGAATAGACACTGTCTTTAATTTGACGATTTCGAATTGGACAGTTAACATTGACTATCTTTTTTCTAAAGTAGGAAAAATAGCAATTCACTTAGAAAAATGTTATTTATTTAAAAAAAAGAGTGATTTTGGTAATCAGATGGATAAGTAGAAAGGGTGTGAATGTGGGTTATCGCTATGGATGTGATAGAAGAAGATGATCATCCTGTACACCTACACACCCCTTTTACATAAACATAGAATAATCTACTCTTATGCGTAGAATAATAAACCAATTTCATGAAAGGGTAGAACAATAAATCCTTAGCCGTAGAATGATCAACCCTTTTCATAAAAGAGTAGCACAGTCAGCCGTTTTTCACTAGTCATAAACCCTTTTTATTTTTAAATACCCTTTTTCTCGGAAAATCTTTCACACAAAAACCCTTTGAGGGTTTGACACATCAGCATAAGCCCTTTAAGGGTTTAGGAAGACTTTCCTATAGTACAAGGGTTTATTATTCTACGAATTGTTTTTTTAGCGTAGTTACATCTTTGAAATACCAGTGAACACAGCCTTCACTTCAGACGCGTTCAGTTGCATTCTGGCTTTTAGAACCATGAGATTCGTTTCTTTTTTCAAATGCGTCTAGATGCAGTCATTGGTTCAAACTCACCCAGCTACGTCTTTGGAACGTGAGTGAACGCGGCTGCTATTGCGGACGCGTTTAAATTTCATACAAACATAAAACCTGTTTCGGGTGTGGCTGTGGCTGTGGCTGTGGCTGTGGCTGTCTTTTCTAGTGTACACTCATACCCACACCCACATTCGCACCGTACACCCACACCCAAATTTATTCATTTCAATAAATAACATTTTAAAACAGAAAAAAATTATCTTTTATTATTTACTTCTAGATTTTAAATAAATTTATCGTTAATTATAATAAACTTCTACATTTTCGTATACGAAACAAAAGAATGTCTGTTAAACCACAAACTAAATTGATGAAACTTGTTTGTAAACGAGCAGCCTTAATGGATGAACCCTATCGTCAACCACCATGGACAACACATCAAATGAGTCATGTAAATAAAAAAGAATCAAATGTACATAAAGTGAAACAAACATTTAAATCAATTAATAAAATTAAAAAAATTACTCAACAAACATTATTAACAACTGAAAAGGTACGAATGATCGAACAATATAATTTTCTACATGCAAAATATCTTCTAATCGATAATAATTGTTTTATGTTTTTTTACAAAGAATAAACCACTGTCAAAAGAAGTTGACCATTCAAACGAAATGATTGCTAGTCCTATCGATGAAAAACTTGTGGAGATTATTTAAATGAGAATTAACTTGTTTTTCCTACTTGTATCGTTAATTTATGTAATGTTAATAATGTATTAGAAACTTTTACTGTACATTTTCTTGTAATGTTTCATACATTGTAAATAAACTCGCTTATAGTAATTCTGCGGATATTTTCTACTAACATTTTCGACAGTTAAACAGAGCCACTAATCATACACGCATTTGTAGTAAAACAAATTCGTATCGTCATCAACGGCTATCTAATAATAAATTTCAACACAAAAATTACCGTGAGATCAAGACACATAATAAAGGTCTATCACACAAAAAATACAAGAATTAACTTTTTTTTCTTAAGTCAATGCGCTTCCATACACAACAACAGATAGTGGACTAGTCAAAGTTTAGAACAGCCTCTAAAATGTAGTGAAAGATGTGAACACGATCCACCCTCAAGTTCTGAAACTAGCAGTTTCCATCTATAAGACCTACCACTTTGCGAAAGAGTGTGGGTGTGAGGGTGCGGGTTTGGGTGTGGATGTGTGGATGTCGGTGTGGGTGGGGTGTGAGTGTGCGTAACAGGAAATGCGAGACTCATAGCCACACCCACACCCCACTCACACCCACACCCACACCCTGAAAGATATCGTTATTTTATTACGTCAGATTGTGAAAAATGATCAACTATTTTAAATTTTTCTAAAATAAATTAGTACATGCTTAGAATTGATGGCGTGCCAAATTTTGGAATAGTGAAAAGTAACAAAATGGTCAACTTCTAGAAGGACGAAGTTCATTACCAATAGTCCCGAGTCGAACTATCTGTAATTATAGTATGAGATTGTGTAAAAAGAAAGGAATGAAAAAGAGAAAAAAATTATGCTAGGTATATCTCCCCTTTTTCTTGCAACTCTAGGAAAATATAGAAAGAGGTAATTACATAATCAAAGAATGTTTTAGTTTTAAACAATTTAACAATAATGATCAGCGAGAGATCTTGGAATGACAAGGAAGTAATTCTTGCTATGTCTTCATAAAATGCCGTTTGTAAACGTTTATTTGCATACTGCTATGATATGTTTGTTCGTTCAGGATTACAACAACTTTTGATAGTCAGTACCATCAAACAAAATTTTTTTACATTCAGGAACAGCACACAAAACCTTTTCAAGTTGCACATTAAAGGATGGAGCTTTTCGATTCGGCATGACGCAATGAACAACCGTATATAGTTCAATATTAATGGGCAGAGCCCGTTAGGATTTGATTTTGTTAGATAGAATCTCTTTGTATTAAGATAATCAAGGGTGTGGGTGTGAGTATCAATAAAGAAAAACCCAGATCCACTCATATCCATTTCCTCTTCCTGTTCGTTTGTCACATACAGATATTTATTGTAGCATTATTTTTTCTGCAAGTCCTGGATTACACAACGACCCATCATAGATTTTAAATGATGATATCCTTTCAGTAGAGGGTGCGCGACGCTCACGTCGCGTTACTTGTTTCTCTAAATGTGATATTGTCACAGGGTCTGGTGTGGATCAAATCCATTCAAAATCATCTATTCGAGAGAATCGAGTAATTTGGAATTTTATATTTTTAATACGATAGAACAACATCTCTGATACTTTTGTGCTCCCCGTGGTATAAAAAAGGAGAATATATTAACCATGAAATGCGCTACTGTTAACCGATTTAACGCATTTCACAGCTTTTAAAAGTAACGAGATTGTTCCCATGGGTCCGAAATGCATCAAAAATTTTAGTATATTCTAATTCTTTCTGTCGATATAATCAGAACAAAAGGATTTATGTTTTCATCAAATGATTACAGCTGTATTAAGTTTCGAGTTTCTTGTCAGAGATATTTATTACATATTAAGCCTGGACAAAAACAAATCTTGACATAGCATCATTCATTTTTAAACAATAGCTAGATCTAGCATTTCTTTTTCTTACCAAATATTCAAACAAAATAATAGTATATAGTCTTGATTTTCTTTTTAGAAGATACCGAATTCTATTTTCTGCAAATTTCTATTAGTTTTAAGATTAGATAATGAAACTAAACAATTTTATAAAGTATTTTATGTGATTTAGCGATTGATCTCTACCTCCTTTGCAAACTATTGTGGAATCTTTTATAAATGTTCTATAATAATAATTAGACGTTTTCTCGACAGAAATTTTTTGTCGAGTGTATCTACAACAAAAAATATCAAGGAAATATTTTTATAACAAAAAGTAAACAAACTGTAGAAAATGTCGTTGTTCTTAAAATATGACTTGCATTCTAATTATTAACAGCTGTAAATGAAATTTATACAATACTCTAATCTTTAGTTACACGAGAAATAAAACAAGGATCGAATTGCGATAATGAAAATCAAAGCACACTGGAAATACTTACTTTTACCTAATAGTTACTTTTATAGTTTAGAAGCCTTGCATATAGATTAAAAACATGTGCTCTCAGAAAGTCTCATAGATTTGTCTTACGGATGTTAATATTCGTCTCTTCGATATTCGGCTTCATGAACAAATGTGGAAAACATCGAAGATACACCAATGAGATTTCATATATTGTTGTGTAATTCAAAATAATCAACACAAACAAATATAATCTCAATTTTGGTGGCCTTCGACATGCCCGATCGACCCGAAGCGTCGACTTTGAGCAACGATAGCAGGGTTTCGTTATGATCGGAACACGGCGGAAGCCGGGTTTCTAACTCAGACATAAAGAGTCCAAGTCAATTCGAAGTACGAATATTGTTATTGCATAAGCAAATCTGACACTAGCGAGAGTATACGTTTCCAATCTGCCATCGAGTTGGTTGTTTAGCCTCCGGATGTGTGCTTTTGTTGCACAACACGCGGTTGATGATCAAAATTGGAATGTAGAAAAAAGACCTTAAAACACGACTTTATATAGTTGACAATGTTATTTCATAAGCAATTGTCAACATAGAATATTCGAGAAGAAAAGAACGAAGAAAATAAAATTACTTTGTAGGACATGATGATGGTGCAATTCATATTTTTCTTGACTACCAAAATAATATGGTGAATTGAAAAAATATGACAAGAAATTTGTAGTCAAGAATGAGTGCTAATAAAAATGTCACATAGTCTCGGATCAAAAAATGTTCCATTGAATCTTTCCATTATCCAACAAAATCTGGGTTTCAACGCTACATCTGATTCGATCATATTTTTGATGATTGTTTATGAGAAAATTATAGTTACAGTTTGTGATACACCGAAAGTAATTTTATATTTTGAATTTTATTAATTATGATGGAGTGAAGAGAATCTATTTTAATATTTAGATTCTAAACTACTAAGTAATTCTTCATGTACATAGATGAATTGGTGATTCATTTTTATCAATGCGTTTGTGATTTATGCAAAGTTCACAGATCAAGAAATATGAACTAGTTCTGATGAAGAAAATCTTGATTGTATTGTGAATGATTAAGTTAAATATTGAAAATATCTTTTTGTTCAATCAATAAGTTTTATTGAATAAGTTAATGATGATTTATTAATTTCTAAATGAAATTGAAAATACTTTTCAATGTTCTATGTAAAAATGTTTCACGTAGATGCGCTTCTCTTGCTGTCGAATGAGGGTGTGGATGTAGCTGGGTACGTGTGGAATTGGATATGAGTGTACTATGTTAGCGTGTTGTATAAGGCTATGATTGACCCACAATCTTATCCGCACCCATGTATCTATGATAACATATGCGATACGATGTGTATGCCACTGTTTTAAGACATCAGTTCAAATAGGAAACTAAAAATCATCAAGAAAAAATAAAATCATTTCAAAAGAAACTCGATGTAAGTGATGTTTTCAAGTATTTTGAAAACAATCAAGTTAGGTGAATGCCAGTATAGTTGAACAATGGAGCAATCGTATCCACACTTTAATCGATACATATAAGAGACACTCGAGTCGACAGTCTCGACTACGTATTCTTTGTCTGAATACATGCAGACAATATTATTTTATTCAGAAGAACTGCTCTGGTTGATAAAATATTGCAAATGAAATGGAAAAGATGAACAAGTCTCTTCTGCGACAAGAGCTAGGTTAAATAATCAAGGAAAACGAATTACGTGTTGTTTATGTGGTCTTTTTCAGTTTAGAATTGTAATGTCTTCATTATTATCGTATACTAAGTGTTTTCGACTTCATATGGTCAAATAAATATAGAAAGCAATATTATCACGACTCGATAAAATATTATCTGTTAATAAGTAATGTAAAGCATCGGTCTTGGGTTTACAGTAGAGATCTGCATGGAGTCGTTTTCGGAGTCGTCGTCGGAGTCAATTAAATTTTTTGCCAAAAATTTAGATTTAGCATAAGATCTTTTTGACTTGCAGATTTTGTTCTCTGATATTTAATGCATAAACTGATGCATTTTGGAGGTTCCAACCACATCTTATCAAGGTCTATGAACACAAAAGAAAGTCGGAGTCGAACAAAATCGGAGTTGAATTTGACTCCGACTTTCTTTCATGTATATAGACCTTGATAAGATGTGATTGGAATCTTCAAAATGCATCAGCTTATGCATTATATATCAGAAAACAAAACCTGCAAGTCAAAAAAGATTTTATGCTAAAACTAAATTTTTGGCAAAAAATTTAATTGACTCTGACGGCGACTCCGAAAACGACTCCGTGCAGGTCTCTAGTTTACAGATAATTTCAATACGAACACTTTCTGTATTCTTTTTATCCTTGGAATACATTTCTTTATGCAGAACAAAAAACGATTCATGATATGGCAACCATCGACCATTACAATGGCCATCTTCAATTTTATGAGCTACAATTCAAATGAAAAGAAATGATCTCCATTAAAATTACTCTGATTTTCATATTCACAGCAAACAGTCACTATTTTCAACAATGTTCCAAAAGTGGACAACAA